GGAAAGAATTCATATACAATATGTCTATCTAATTCGATTTATCAATAGCTTCTTCAAGGTCTAAGAAGATATTTCTTTTCCACCATAATGTATCAAACCATTATTTGGTTTTGTTCAGGTTCATTTTCATCAACCCTCACCCAAGTCTGTAATGAAAATACAGAATCTATATACAGGTAGTCTTTGATTTATGACCATTTGTTTAGCAACCATTTGAAGTTGCAGTGGCATTGAAAAAAGTGATTTACAACTTACAATTAGTCCTTTCACTAATGACTGTCATAATATCTCCATGATTACATCATGATTTGTGCACTTGGCAAGTATTTAAATTGGTTGTGGTGTCCCTGGGACATGATTACAACCTTCCCAGCTGGCTTATGATGAAGTCAAAGAGGAAGGTGGCAGAGAAGGTCACAAATCACCATCACATGATATGTGTTACATAACAACTATCGAAAAATGTTGAAAAATTGGGTACAGTCCCGTGATGCCTCACTTTCATGACCACATTGCTGAAAGACAAATTTTCTAGTACCACATGTGCTCATAAGTTTTTATTTTATTATATNTTCACCCTCTGAACAGATTGCATCCTGCCACAGCAAAAACTGGTAAAACATAGTGAATGTGATTATGTGCTGTAAAAAATAGAGGATTTTAACCGGGGATGGAAATTGATTACCTTTTCCCTTTCTCTAGTATGCATGAAGGTTTTTAAATTTAAAATATGAATCAACTAGCATGTATTGGAGGATATTTCTCAATCTTTATGCTTGAAAAATGTTTGTGGGGCGGTTCATGGAGTCACTAATAGTAGATCCTATAAAAACACTATTTAATTAGAATTGGGTAGGCTGAAATCTGCATAATACTTCTGAGAAAAATTGTTGAATTAAAGAATGGCACTTCATTAAGATATTGGTCTGAATTTTCTGAAAAAGTTATTTTTTCCACTGGGTAATTGCATAAATAATGTCATAATTAACATATTGTGGTTATCTTTTTTGCATTATTTCCAGTGACATATTAATAACTATTAATAAGCAGCTAGTACTTGATTTAATTCATCTCTTGATGTATTTGCATTCTCTGTGCATCATTTCTCTTTTAAATTTTTGGCTCCTGATATAGCTAGAATCTTGGGAGCAAGAATTTAATCTCTCCTTCAGAGGGAGATTTATAAAATCTTGCCCAACCCCCATGCTCATATTGGTCCTTCCATTAATCTGTTGGCCTTGACAGTATTTTGCAAAGAAAACAGATGTAATTTTTATAACATTAAAGAAGAGATTATGAGTTAGAGATTTAGAGAGCACAGATGGCCTTTATGCTTAGGGGACTCCCAAGGTGAGCTTTTGCAATACTTTATAAGTACTACATTCTGTTCTCTACAAAACGGAGCTTCTGGATACAGTCACTTATAGTTTAATTAATCCATTCTTCAAGAGCAGTGAAAGCATTTTATTTCATTTATAGCAATTTGATTATATGTAATTTCAAGGAACATTAATCTCTTCTACCTCCTTCCCAGAAATAAATGCTACTCTAATTTCTGTACTTATAGAGCAATTACTGTGCAGCATTAGTTTCATTCACAAATAAAATATGTTTAAGTACAGGCAGTCCTTGCCTTACAACTGTTCAAAGTTATGATGACACTGAAAAACAATCACTTATAGTAATAGCACTTAGACTTATATTCCGCTTCATAGTGCTTTATTGCCCTTTCTAAGTGGTTTACATAACCAGCATATTGCCCCCAACAATCTGGGTCTTCATTTATGACCATTACAGCATATCCGTGGTCATGTCAAGCAAAGGCAACGAGTCAATTCACTTAACCATGTCACTAACTTAAGAACTGCAGTGATTCACTTAATAACGGTCACAAGAAAAGTTGTAAAATGAGGCAAAATTCATTTAACAAATATCTCAGCAACAGAAATTTTGGGCTCAATTGTGGTTGTAAGTTGAAGACTATCTATACTTGAAGTAATAAATAATTATCCTTAACATTTGTTATGAGGCTGCATGAATATAGAAATCTACATCTGTTGGTTTCTACACTGTAAAACTAATGAGCACATATTTGTCTGTTTGCATGAGTCAAACAAATTTTTTACCTTAGAGGACATCAAACGCAATACCTCAAAAGTAATTTTGCTGATACATGATTCAAGAAGGAGATGTGCAATCCAGAGCATTTTGGGAGTGATTTTACAATTGTCATCTGTCATGATTTTTACAGTGATAATTCTTTTTTTTAAAAAAAATCCTGTACATTTTAGCTCTTCTCAGTTTTTTTTCCATGGTTAATATTTGTAAAGATACCAGCATTAATAATAAAATATTAATGTTTGGGATGGTTTAAGTTGTGGCATCAGGATTAATTAATTAATTGATATTTTAATTTATGATGAACATTTTATTCTAAGACAAGACATTGCATTAAATCAATTGCTACATGAGCATACTCTTGACAAATGCCCAAAGGCTAATGTCTGATACTCAGTTTGATAACTTGTGCATGGAAATGCAGAACATGGAATTGGCGCACCTTTTGGCAAAAAGGAATAACAATTTCTAAAAATTTCTGACTAAACATTTTGTCTCTTTTTGTAGAATTTGTTTTCTGAGGTAAACTTTCCTCCCATATGTATTAATTTGGACTTCCCCGATTTTCTGCAAGATTTCAACTGTAAATTGTAGGGAAGACAGAACTTTACTCTAAGCTGGGTTGGACAATAATTTCCCCAAGGAGCCAGATGAGAAACTGAGTCTGTTGTGGAGGGCGGAGCCAATAACTCCTGGCTGTGCTCTGCCCACTCAACCGGGAAGCCGACCTTCGACCGAGGAGGTGATGCATGGCCAAGCTTGCGTCTCCTCACTTGATTACCATTGCTACTACCCCTCCCCTTGCCCACTTGTGGCTGGCAGCCAATTGAAGGAGTGCACAGCAACTGCGTAGAGACAGAGTCAACTCAGCCTCTTCTCCCACTCCCTGCAGTGTGCCTTTTTACATTAATTTATAATATCCAACTGATGTCACATGGCTTGGATAGGAACAGCCAAAGGGTCATATGGGGCCCAGCGGCTATACCAGTGTTGGCTAATCTTTTTGTTGTGGCGTGGCAAAAGTGGGGAGAAGCGTAGGGGGGTCACGCATGTGCATGCCCATACCCATAAGGCAATGCCCTCCCCCATGGATGCACGCACAACTCCACCCCTGTGCACATGCGCCCAGTCCTCACTGAAGCCTCCAGACTTCTGGGAGGCGGCTGGGCCATTTTTTGTCCTCTTTGGGCTTCAGAAAAAACAGCCCAACGGCCAACCCAGATGTTTGTTCCTGGACTTCTGGTGGGCCCCGTTGGGCCATGTTTTGCCCTACCCAGGCTTCAGGGAAGCCTCCTGAAGCCTGGGGAGCCTGAAAAACAGCCCAACGCGCAAACTGGAAGTCCGTTCCCAAACTTCCAGTTTGTGTGTTGGGCAGTTTTTTTGCCCTCTGGAGGCTTCAGAGAAGCCTCCAGAGGGCAAAAAACAGCCAAAAACCAAGCCCAAAAATCAGCTGGCCAGCGTGCACATGTGCACTGGAGCTGACAGGGCAATGCCTCACGTGCCCTCAGAAATGGCTCTGCATGCCACCTGTGGCACGCATACCATAAGTTCAGCATCA